TTTAATTAAAATGTTAATTGCTACGATAATTATTAAGCTGTATGAAAAAGCTATGTGAAAAAGAGGGAAATGATCTTATATACTTTTTTCATATCGAAATTAAATTATTGATAAAAACTGTTATTTATGTTATTTATGTTATTTATTTCATTGATTTATTTTCTTCACTGAAGATAATAAAGAAATATAAAGAAATTTGTAGACAAGAAAAATAGTGCTTGTTTTCAATGAAACATTTACAACGTGAATTTACAAATATATCACTCTCTTCACTATAAATTTACAATCAAAAAATTAATCTAAAAAAACAACTCATTAAGTATTAATAAAATTGCTACGAAATTAAAACAAAGCCGATTTGTGTTAGAAAAAAAATTACTAAATTTAATCAACTCGCAAACTTTTTAATAAAATTATAATATAAGAAGAACATTTTTCTTACAGTCGCAATTGCGTTGAAATTGTAGAGAAGAACAGTAGAGAAACGTCAGTAAGAACAATTAAACTGTCCGGCAATTCTGTGAAATTGTATTATTCAGTGAATAATAATATTGTTTAGTGAGTGATAGTATTGTTCAGCGAGACGTTCTGAGATAGAAGAAAACAGAGCAATTCTCAGGAAAAACAGAGAATCCGAATGAAACTTACAATGCCTCGATCGATCTTCCACGGCCTTTTAACAACAAACAGTCCAAGGAAGATAGCATTCGTTCATATTATCCGCGTTATTCGCATTTTATCCTTTTTTACTCCTTTCCACATCTTAAGATGAATGGATTTAACGGATGCTAAAATCTGACCATGCCAATTTTTCACAAAGCTGAATAAATTTACACTTTATTCAATGAATATATGTCTTTTGCAAAATTCACTTTTTATTAGCTATTAAAATCCACAAATAAATATAAAATTGCATCTAGCTTGGTTTCAATTTATTCACTACGAGTGAACATATCTATATTACAAGCGAATGTCGCAACGTTCTCGAAACAGAATAGCTTGATGTTTACGATTAAATGCATTTACCTCGACGGGCATCGCGTCACGGATTGCTCGGACATTATGCCAGCTGCCGCAGTTCGTGTATGCCTGTATGCAGTACGGCTGTCTTCACGTGTCATGAATGAAACAACTATACTCTCATGAAATCGCCTCACTTTTCGCGTTTCAATTAGATCCTGCGGTCGAATAATTTCGTCTTACTTCAAAAATATAATATAAAAAGACAAATTCATTTTTGCATTTATTTTTTGCACTTCTAAGTTTCATAATTTCGGAGATAAGAATCGTAGAGTTAAGTTTTCATAGCTATCTAGAAAGCTAGGTTCGTTGCCCAGAAAAGCTGACTACTAAACCGCACATGGCGCCCGAGACAATGACGATAAATAAGTGCTCGTGAGCCCAGCTTTTATGGTTTATTTGGCGCTTGCAGGAGCCAACACAGCAGGACATTACCGAAGACTGTATGCATGTGTATGCATGTACGGGTGTTCGAATCCATTCGGACAATGATGAACGTATACGTCAATCACTGACATGTTCCAATCATAGGATAAATGGTTGTGCATGTTAATATGATTTTGTCATGAACGGGCATCACCACCATTGCGACTATGAAAGGAATTTCGATTCGCAAATCGAACGCGATCTTGGCTCATGGACAAGTAAAATATCACAATTCCAGAAGTAGCCGAATCTTTGATAATGTGTGCCAAATTTTAGTGAGTACACTTGGCACACTCAAAATAATCCTCTCTTAATAAAATTAGTTTAAGTATTCATAATTACGTAGAAGACGACGTGTTTTATTATCAATTCAACGATTATTTATGTCATGAATTTTCCTTTTCTTCTTTTCTTTATTCTACAAGATATGTTACACGATGAAAATCTAAAATAACGTACAAAGTTAATGTAAACGTCTCGTACATGTTCTTGAAATTTAGAAGGAAATTTAGACGCAAGTCTGGAGAGACGACGTTCTCTTATGGATTAAGTAATTTGGAGCAACTTCTCATAATTATGTAATTCGCTGCAAATTGAGGCATAACTTCGCATACTTAATTGTAGCTCTAATCTATTCTAATCTAATCTAAGTCGCTCTCGCGCAATTTCGAGTTATGGACAGGAGAGTAGCTTGTAAATTAGCATGTATAAATTTCATGAGCTTATATAAGCGACACAATACTAATTACTCATACGATGATTCCAGTTTTAGTTAACAAATTACACCTCAAATTCAGTGGAATAACAACAATTTATCATAATCTCTAACAAAAATCTCTCTTATATAGTATGTCTCTTATATAGTAAAGCAGAAACATTTGCATGCATATTAAAATAATGCAATATAAAAAATATATATATTCTCTACTACAAATAAATAAACGATACATCGTTAAAATAACGATTTGATGTTATGGAATTTGATATGGAATTTGGTATGGACACTTGATTATGGTGGGATTTGATATTATGGAATTGTTATGAAATGGTCCGTATTATGGAATTTACATGCGGATTTTGTACAATTTAATCAAAAAACGTATATCAATCTTTTACCGAAAATCAACGCGAGTTCTAGACAAAGAATCCGCGTTAGCTCGAGTTTGTCCGATGAGTCGCCCACATTTTTCCGGTTGCACAAACGTGTACAACTGCTCGTGTCGCACGCGATCACGCGAGAGTAGCCAATCGAAACGGATACCACGACAGAGGCCGCCGCACTCCATTATTATTCACATCACATTAAGCATTTATTATGTTTAACGTTACATTTACCTCGGGGTTCGTTCGCTTCTCGAGTTTGATGTAACATGTGAATGCATCATTTGATCACATCGGATACCAGAATCGCGACCGCACAAATAAATAACGATTCTATCGTAACGAATTTTGGAAATTTATAAACTTCCAGCTTTGATACTATAATTTAATTTTTCTTAATTTTGTATGTTTCCTTATTCCCAGTATATCATTAGTCTACATATTATAAATTTATATTAAATTTACTTTGAAATGATGAAAAAGCCATGAAGATTATAACTATTAGTAATTTTACTATTATTAATTTTTTAAATAATTTTAATGTTTGAACAATTTTGAATAATAATTGAATAATAATTTTGATAATAATTGCTTTTAGTATCATAATCTAACAATGCATTATTAAATATATATATTTTCATTAATCATGGTTAATGTAATTAGCATAAAGCAGCTATTAAATTTATCTATATTTTTCTATAAAATCGTTTAATCATAAATTTATAATTTTAAAGGGTTTCAATTTAGTTCTGTATAATATATTGTATCTAAAAGACTATTAATTCATTTATTTAATAATGTATTATGTTAATTAAATTTGTAAAAGCTGTATTTATTGTCGTCACTCTATCAAACAAATCAATTAAAATCATGATTGAAACACGATATAGCCTAATCAATAGATCATGAGCGTTTATTTATTTATTCGTTATGTATATTTGCAATTTAATTGAAGAATTTAAATGAAATAGTGATATCTCTTTTCGACTTCATATCACATGAAAGAAGAACCATGTAACAACATGAAACTATCTCATGGCGCATAATATTGCGAAATATATCACAACAATCATATAATGTTTTAATTGGCAAGTTTTAACGAATAATACATTTTAAATACATGTTCTCAATTGACCTTCAATCAAAATGAGGCTATCGAACTGTCTATATAAGATAAAATTTTATTCTAATGTATCTCTCTCTCTCTCTCTCTCTCTCTCTCTCCTATATGTCTTGTATATGAGATTCTATATAAGACATATATATATATATATATATATATATATATATATATATATCTAAAAGTAAAAAGGGGTGAAAAATCTAAATTAAATTAAGATTCATTCGGGTTGCGACCCAATTTGATCGGCAAATAAAAGCATTGAGTACCGAGGGTTGGAGACAATCAATTTTTTCCCCTACGTTCTATGATATTATTCCGTGGAACACGTGGAAATTGCATAATGCGAGCATAGGGTCGGCATATGTCGCTTAGGACTTAAAATAGAATAAAGCTTATTTTCATATAAATAAGAATATATATATATATATATATATAAAGTTAAAAAAGTATCTTTTAAAAAAGTCATTGAAATACAAGTAAAAATATGCGATAAAATAAAATAGTGTCAAGCAGTCTATCATTTTTCAAAATAATTATTTTACAACAATACATCACTTCTTTTCTTCAATATATCGTTTTGTGTTAAAAGTAGAATAAATCTGAATAAGTGTTATGTAAATAACTTTTGTTTGCAAAAATTCCATATAAAAACTGTAACAAGTTTACACAACGTGCTTGCTCAGCACATGATATGTTTAAGCACACGTTAAAAATCTGGATATGAAAATCCTAGAAGCATAAATACAAAATGCTTTTAAAAATTACATACAAACCGCAACAGGAAATTTAGCGGAAATGTATATATATGTTTTAATGCATGATATACGCATATGTTTATTAACTTTTAATGTCGCGAATAAGCAGATTTTTGTGTTTTTCATCTCTATCCGCAGATCGAGTGCACAATATTAAAATTTTGCCAAAAATACTCGCCAAAATTTATCTGTAAAATATACATTATTTAAAAAGTTAAATTTGAAAATAAATAATTTATTTCGGCATTATTTAAAAATTTAAATTCGTATTTGATCACATGATTCATAACGTATCTCAAAAATACTATTTTGCTTTATTGCTGTATTGAAATTTCGCGCTTTGAAAAATCCTGAGAGAAAATTGCTTTATTATATAAATATTTTAGAATACAACAAGAAAATAATAAAAATGTTGACATACAAAACACAGGCAATACGGCGTCACGTTTTTTCTGGAGCATTCGCAAAGCATTATTCGTATATGTTAGACGTCATACCAGCCGACTCATTAAACTGTTTATACTGTTCCGAAATTTCGTCTTACCACGGTCAGCTGATAATGAATGATATCTTACCTTGGTGTCCCTGGACGTGTGGTAATAGTAAACAAAAGCGAACATCCACGCGCATGACAGAAGCAACGCGATCTTGACATTCCGCCGCATGACTGCTCTGGTTCGCACTTATTCCGCGTCCCACGCTTTCCGTTCGTCCGTCTGCTGTCCAACGTTATGTCTTCTAACCGCAAATCGCAAATCTCGTCCTTCTCTCTCTCACGAAACGGAGCATGCACATCCGCGACCGAGAACGCGGTGCAATGCCACAAGACACCACTAACACGCGCGTACCGGCAGCCGAAGCCATACTGCCGAGGCTGACCAAACGCGGCAACTATAATGCTCGAAAGCAGATTCTCGCTTGGCCGTCGCCACCTGTTGGCTGCCTCCCGAACTAATTACACCCACTGAAAGGCGCCAGATTTCAGAGGAGCAGTTGAATGCTTTAGAAAAAACAATAATATTCAAACACCGATTTTATTTATTCCATAAAATTTGATTAAAATTTTAATGTTTTCTCGTTACAATACACATTTACTATCACATTTTAAATCCATAAATAAAACATGTACATGTAATTAAATTACTAAAATATACGATAGAAGTTAATACCTATTTTGAAAAAAGAAAAAAATTTTATTTAAAATATGTCAAATTACTTTATGAATGCATGTTTTTATTTACTATTAATTAAACAGAGGATATTTGTTGAAATTAATTTCTAATATAATAGAAATAAAAAGCAAAAAATAATAAAATTTTAAAATAATTTTATCAAGTTTAAGTAAATAATACACTATTAATAATTTCATTAATTTGTTAAATACTATATCATATATTTTTTATAAAAACTAAATTAAAATATTGCAAAATAAAAAATATTTTATCGAATCATTATTATTCAACAATAATATTATAAAAATATATAAATTTGTAATATTATATCAATATTAAAAAATTAAATTTTTCTGTTTTAATTATAATATAGAATAAAAATATGTAAGTTCTGATACAGGAATGTATTATTATGTAATTATGCATTCTAATATCATTTAAAAGAAAATAGTATAGTTTTTAAAAATATATACATAAAATTATTATTATACACAACTTGAGTATTAAAGTATTAAATAAATATTTTAAAAATTTAATAAAACAAAATAAATGTATTTTAGTAAATTTAAATAAGTATTCTTACAGTACAGATAATAAATAATTTTATATTTGGCATAATCGTTTATATACGCAATTAGTTATAAATTTTTATGTTAGATATCTTGCGCTATACATGTAATTTATAGCGATTGTAAACTGATATTGGGTGGATTTTGATAAATCTCTGAAATACGCCCATTCGGAGATGCAGACACCCGCAATGCCGATTTCACGGATCAGTCTATCACGACCTGTCTTTTCAGTAAAAGTTCTGCTGAAATCCAACAAAGTATAACAAAATAATATTTGTTTTACCGAGTTTCAAATCGCTGTTGATATGGTCTTTGCATCAGTATGGGTGTTGTTATTATTTTTCGGTTTGTGCACAGCATGGATGGACGAGAGGTAATAACTTTTAAATAAAAGTATAGTAAAAGAATAACGCGCGCTGTCCGCGTCCAATATAATATTTACGTTTATATAGTATTTATTTTTATAAAACGTCTTTCTTTAAAGTTAAAAAAACTGTTATATAATAATATCTCATTACTATTGATGAAGAGATAGAGTCTTAAAATTTTATCAACAAAACAAGTATAATTCAAAATATAATTCGGATAAAACTATTTAATATCAAATTTTCTTATGTAAACTTATTTTCCATTGTCACACAAACTTATACATAGCTTATATATAAATAATTTAAATTCAGACCCGTTCTGGAGGCTCAAGATGGACATCTCATAATCTCCAGCGCGAAAGACAGAAACATCACTTTGAAGATAATGGGAGACGGTTATGTGAACGTTAATGAGATCAATCTACTTCATGTAGCATCGGCGGTAAGAAAAAAAAAAATATATATATATAATATCTATATATGTACAGTATAATTGAAATGCAAGAAATGCAATTAATTAAATTTCGATATTTTTTAGGCGCAAAATGCGACGCGGGTCATTGACAGGTGGCGAATGGGACACATGAGCGAAATGGAGAACTCTCTTTACCAACTAACGACTATAGTGACAGGCGCTACAGGTTTACAGACAAGAGTCGCTCTGCTCGAGAGGAGTATCGACGTGAACGGTACGATTCGTGTAGGAAACAGATCACGTTTTCCGGTAAGAATGCGCAATATTGAATCAACAGCTTGCAATGACATTTTTCTATATATCCTCCAAATAATACAAATGTGTCAATAAAAAAGCATAAGAATTCTTTTACTTAAAAAAAAAAGTAAGCAAAAGGTACAATAAGAGAATAAGTGTGCAAATAAATTAATCATTTTTACACTATTAAGTCATTATTTATTTTTCATTAATTTAATTTAATGTTTTAATGATAGAAAATTATACAAATTGCATCAGAACAAAAAAAATGAGTTAAATATGGAATTAATTGTATCAAGTTATTCATTAAATATATTTTCAGAACTTGAATCCATTGTCGAGTATAGCCAGAAGTACTATCCGTCGTATTAATGTCCGAGTATGTATGATTCATAAATCTATAATAAGTGGTAAATATGGAAATAGCAACCTATATTAAATAAAAAATATGTACTTGAATATGTTAAGCTGAAAGCATTAGAGGATGCATTAAGAGCTATGCAAACACTACTTCAACAAAATGAGTGTCAAAGTAGCCCATGTCAAAATGGAGGTACTTGTGAAGATCTCTATGATGCCTATCAATGTCACTGTCCATCAAATTGGGAGGTATGTGAGTGTGCTTTGACAGTGATATTTCATGAAAATAATTACCATAATTTTAGGGTCCAAACTGTATGACAGACGTTAACGAATGCGCAAGATTTCTTGGAACAGATCTTGGATGTCAAAATGGAGCAACTTGTCGTAATTTACCTGGGTCATATCGGTATGCAGTATTAAAAAATACAATTTTAAAGCAATTATTAAGCAATTTAAAAATATAATTTTTACAGCAAATAAGAAATGTATATTAAATGTATTATCATATAGTCTTTGCTAGACCATGAATATTTTAACAAAGTTGCAGTTAATTTAAATTTTACTCTAAGATGTTATTTTCTTAAATAATACCACATACTGCGTTTTGCATGTGGCCTTTATTTATGGTGTAATCTCTTGGATATACTGCACGGAATATATAATATCGGTTTGGATATTAGATGCGACTGCTTGCCTGGATGGTTTGGCCTTCGTTGTACGCAGAAAACATCGATTTGCAATATAGAGAATTCCGAAGCGCTTTGCGGCGAACATGGAGTATGTGTTGCGAAAAGCAGTTCTTCTCTTGGATATACATGCATCTGCGATCAAGTATGTTGTTTTCTTATTTCTTTTTTTTTATTTTAAATACCATATTCTAAATATATTATTAAACTGTATATGGAGATAACTTATGTATAAACTGCTATTTGTAGCAAAAGTATTGATTCTTTTCTTTCATCGGCTTTAGGGATGGGAAAGTGACGGTACAAGCCCAGCTTGCACCAAAGATGTAGATGAATGTGCAGCACCTCATCCACCCTGTTCCGTAAATCCACCGGTACCATGTCGCAATACTCGCGGCTCATTCACTTGCGGTCCCTGTCCGCCCGGCTATAGTGGAAATGGCTATTATTGCACCGACATTGACGAGTGCCTTATTAATAATGGCGGTTGCAGTACCTCGCCTTTTGTACAATGCATGAACACGATGGTAAATATAATACACGATACAAAGTAACTACAACTAACACTATATAACATTACTATTATTTTCAAAAAAAAAAAAACACATGGTCTTCTCCATTTCTTTAAGCTCTCATGAAAAATATGTATTTTTAATTGATAATATAAATATAAATAAAGTAGTCAACTACAATGATGTTATGATTCGCTGCAACAATAATTTATTTTATTGCAACGTTTTAATTACAGGGTTCTAGGATATGTGGTCCTTGTCCCCCAGGATACCGTGGCGACGGTGTAAGTTGCATTTTTGTTGGTGGTTGCGCCATCAACAATGGCGGATGCCATCCATTAGCCACGTGTACCGAGAATCCGTCGCTTACAAGTTCTTACGTGCTGTGCCGTTGCCCGTCGGGTTACGTCGGCAACGGAATGGGACCAAACGGCTGCCAATTAACTGATGTATCACTTAATACAGCGTGTTCTAGCAATCCTTGCGTTCATGGTACATGCGTGCCAAACGGTGCAAATGGCTTCACTTGCACATGCAATCCGGGATACTCGGGTATGTATTAGGGAAGAGAGAGAGGTAGGGAGAAATAGATCTATGAACTAACTCATGTAAATTGTAACGCTCTGCTTCTCACATGTGACGAATAGTAAAATAGAGAATTAATTTATTTGACGATTATATAATAATCGTAACATAAACTAATAACTTAAGACTTTATTTTTATATGAAAGATAATTATTATTTTAGTAAGTAAATAAATATTATTTTGATCTAAATTTAAAAAGATTTAAATTTATTTGATAAAAATTAATAAAAATTAGTAAAAATTATATTAGTTTCTTGTGATATTGTTTATATCATTACGTTTATGTACGTCTTGTTAACTAGGAACTACATGCAACACACCAAACGACCCGTGTTCACCAAATCCGTGCCGAAATAGTGGTATTTGCACTGTCTTAGACGGACAAGCAACGTGTCAATGTACATCTAGCTTTACAGGAAGCAGGTGTGAAACACCACGGCAAGCGTGCGGTGGTGTATTACGGAATCCTATGGGAACGCTTCAGTTCCCCATGGGCGGTAATACTTACCAGCATGGATTGAGTTGCGCCTGGGTGTTAATCACGGAATCCTCTAAGGTTCTAAACGTCACCTTCACAGCTTTTAATCTTGAACAGTCCACAGATTGCAAGTTTGATTTTCTACAGGTGCGATGTTAATTTTGCATCTAATAATTAATAAAGCATTTTTTAGCCGTTTTTTTTATTAAAATTACTATATTTCTAATAAAGATAATTTTCGCAAATTTTTTGCCGTTAAATAATGTTTGAATGAACTTTTATCTTTTACTTTAAAAATTTGTGTACTTTAATCTATGTTAAAGAGTTTGTAGAATTTTTAAATTTTTAACGTTGTCTAAATTTCTATTTAGTAAAATCCTATAAATTATAAATCTCTTTGAATTATATAATTTTATAAAGAATGACAGAAATAAAAAAACTCTTGCTGCTCTTATAACGCATGTACACACTTTTAGATTCACGATGGCAGAAATGCTGGTAGTCAAATGATCAACAGATTTTGCGGTCATACGTTGCCTAACCAAAATGGAACTATTATTTCATCGCATAATACTCTCTATTTATGGTTTCATTCGGACAACAGTATATCTCATGATGGATTCACTTTGCATTGGAGTAGCATTGATCCTATTTGTGGAGGAGTTTTAGAAGATAATTATGGCACAATTATATCTCCAGGTTCGCCTGGAAGATATCCTCCAAACAGAGATTGTTTCTGGAGAATCACCGTCGCCGAAACGAAAAGAATTCAATTCCATTTTGGACAATTGATGCTTGAGGACAATTGCAATAACGACTATGTGGAAGTAAATATTTGATAAATTAATTATAATATTATATCAAGATTTTACATATTTCTTTTTCGCAACATTGTTAAATTTTCTAAAATAAATATTTACGTCTTATTATATTATTATAACGCTTGTTATTAATCTTTACTTTATATCTGGCATTATTCATTCAGATTACAGGTGCAGAAGAAGAACGCTTAGGACTTTTTTGCAATCACACTCGACCACCGCCTTTGGTTACGCCTAGTTTTGAAGCAACTGTTCATTTTCATTCTGATAGTTCGAATCAAGATGCTGGTTTCCAAATCCATTATTCGATAATTGAAGGTATTTATTAAAACATCTGTATAATTTATAATTGTATCACTTGTATTATTAGTTATTTATTTAGAAAAATAATTGAATAATTTTATAATTTTATAATTTTGCATCTTAATTACTTGCAATATTTAGGTATACCAGGTTGTGGAGGAATTTATACTAGTGCTACCGGCATGATCAGTTCACCAGGTCATTCGACGTCATATCAACCAAATATGGAATGTGAATGGAAGATACAGTTACCAGCAAGCGAACGAGTCAGAATAACATGGTCAAGATTTGATCTTGAAAGTTCCACCAGTTGTCAGTTTGATTTTATCGAGGTGAGTTTTAAATTTGCATTGTTCCCAAGTTTTATAAAAAGAGAAGAAAAATTATAATCTTTGTACTTTTTTAGATTTATGATGGACCTGACACGCATTCTCCTTTACTCGGTAGATACTGCGGTTCGGATATGCCGCCAACGATTAAGTCAAATTCGAACAATTTAGTCGTATTTTTCAAATCCGATTGGTCTTATGAAGGGGAAGGTTTCATTTTGTCATATGAAACTTTATGCGGCGGCGAATTTCATGAAAGTAGTGGAATTATCCAATCGCCCTTCTATCCAGAACCTTATCATCATTCGAAAACGTGTATTTATGAAATCATACAACCAACGAATAAAGGAATCCAATTAACTATGTTAGATATGGACATTGAAGGCAGATATCAGAACTGCTTCTACGATTACGTTGAGATTTTCGACGGCGATAATGAAAATGCAACGAAACTCGCTACATTATGCGGCGATGAAGAAAACATGCCAAATACTCCTTTCTTTTCCACACATAATGTCATGTACATAAAGTTTACCACTGATAACAGCATAGATGGTCGTGGTTTCAAAGCCAATTATACAGCCATTGATCGCAGTAAGTAAGATCTTTGCTGCGACAAAATTATTATAGCTCAAAGTGATTTGGTATAATAGCCTTGAATACGATAGCTTTATTTTGCGTAGAGAGCAATTAAATGTTTGTTTAAAAATGGAACTTGCAGAATAACAAGGTAAACATTGATAATATATATTAATAATATTATTCATATTAAGGATGTGGCGGATTATTAAAAGAATCAAGCGGTATAATACAACCTCCCCTTGAAGAAGGAAATTATGCCAATAATGAGGAGTGTATCTGGACTATTCAAGCACCGCCAGGATATGTAATACATCTTACTTGGATGTCATTTGATATAGAATATCACCCTCATTGTGATAGTGATTACATCAAAATTTTTGAAAGCTACAACCCTAGTCAGGAAAATGTAATAGCTACGTACGTTTGGCGTTACATTAATTTTTTATTTTTAATTTATTTTATTTTTAATTAAGTTTAAATAAAAAAGTAATATTAATGTTCAAATTATTAAAAATCTATCAGTTATATTAGTACTGTAATACATATTAATTATTGTAACTTCATTTTATTTGATAGCTTCTTCTTTTAAATACATTACAATTATGCATTTTAGATATTGCGGTAGAACTAAACCACCCGATTTAACGACACAGGATCGTATACTTAGCATACTCTTCCATACCGATTTAAGTGTTACAACTGATGGATTTGTTGCTACATATGTTTTTATGGATGCATCAAAGGTCTGCGGCGGTCATTATGTGAGACCAAACGGTGTTATTAGATCGCCAAATTATCCTGATTATTATCCAAACAAGAAGGAATGCGTTTGGATTATTGAAGCACGAAATAAACATAGAATTATCCTTACAGTCGAACACTTTGAGTTGGAAGGGCATATGAATTGCGCATTTGATTATTTAGAAATTAGGTAATAAAGTTAAAATGATTTTTGTCACTTTGTGACCGAATTGTTGCTTTATATTTCTCGTATTTTAGAAACGGTGGATATGATTCCGCACCGTTAATTGGCAAGTTCTGTGGCACAGAAATACCCACTGAAATACCAAGTCAAGCCAATCAAATGTATATTCGATTCGTTTCGGATTTCTCGAGATCGATGCAAGGTTTCGAGATACAGTGGGATAGCACCACGCAAGGTAGAAAAATCCAAGTTTTTTATTACTTTAGTTTTTAAATTTGCATCTTTAATTTCAGGATGTGGTAGTATGATGACAGCAGTTACTGGCGATATTATATCTCCAAATTATCCGGAACCTTATTCAATGAACGCAGAATGCTATTGGAAGATCGCAGTAGCAGCGGGTAGCATAGTACAACTCGTAATAATAGATCTCGATCTTGAAGAGCACGACAAATGCCGATATGATTTTATTGAAATATTTGAAGGCATCAGTCGTCGCACAAACGGAAAACGTTATTGTGATGCTAATCATCCAAAAATTATTCAATCCAAAACCAATGAAATGAGCATTCGTTTTCGTAGCGATTACAGTAGTTCTGGTCGCGGTTTTCATCTAAAATACGAGACGCGTAAGTATAGAGATTATTAACTCAATAACCATTTATTCTATTTTATGAATGTTAAAAATCTGAAAAACGTATTGTTTATGCATTTCTAAAAATATCTACCTTTAAATTCTATATTTCTTTCTTATTAAACATAATATAATGTTATTTCTTTAAAATCTAAAATCAGTGTTTTTTTGTCTTCTATTTTAATTATTTATTATAGAATTAATTCATTATTAAATTATTATTTTTATGATACAGAGTGTTATAACAAATTACGAGGTTACTACGGTGTGATAGAATCACCGAATTTCCCCAATAAATACGAGCACTCATCAAATTGCAGTTGGACCATTGAGGCTCCAATCGGTAATACGATTAATTTGACTTTCTCACACTTTGATCTCGAAGGACGAATGGATAGTCCTGCGCAATGCACATTTGATTATGTTCAAATCATGGAAGGAGATGAAGATACTCCAAACACAGAATTAGGTCGATTTTGTGGGACTATCGATCTACCAATGAAAATTAATTCAACGCAACATCAAGTGTTTGTAACATTTGTTACGGATTCCTTTATTGCCTTCAATGGTTTCCGGTTCGAATGGTCAGTGCATGGTTGCGGCGGACATTTGATTAAACCATATGATAGTTTCACATCGCCTGGATATCCGTTTGCTTATCCAACGAATCTCGACTGCGAATGGCTTATCGAAGTGGATTACACACATAGCGTTGAACTTACCCTTCATAATGTAGGTATACACAAAGAAATATACGCAAGGATTGTACGAAAGTTTACACAAAAACAATATTAATTTGATATCGAATATCGCATAATATACTAAATAATATATTAAACAATAATATATAATAACATAATAAAATAAAATAGAAATTTTTCTTATTTAGGTAAATACTGAGAAACGCAAAGGCTGTTTCTTCGATAAAATACAAGTTTACGGAGGTGATAATGAGGATGCGCCAAAATTAATCGAGATATGTTATTCAGAAAAGCCAGTGATTTACACTAGTCCCGGAAATAAAATGTTCATCAAGTTTCACTCGGATTCGTCATACGCTGGTCCAGGATTTAATGCTAGCTATAGGAGCGTTCCTATTGAATGCGGTGGTAAATTTACAGCAACTTCGGGCATTATTCATTCTGCCAATTATCCACAGAATTATCCGCACAGCCAAAATTGCGAGTGGCTGATAGAAGTAGACAATAATCATCTCGTAAATCTTACGTTCTTGGACTTTGATATTGAAAATAGTAGAAATTGCAGTGACGATTACGTTAAGGTATTCTCTTTTTTTTTATAGCTGCTTATAAAAATATAATATCAACTATTTTAATAATAATAACTTTAATAATAATAAAAGTGTTTAATGACAAAATAAAATATTAACAATTCCTATTTCGTGTTTTCGTAGATTTTTGATGGCCCAACGAAGGATGATCCATTATTGGGAACGCATTGCCGTAATCAGCTTCCACCGACCTATGTTTCGAGTAGTAATCAAATGCTTGTAGTTATGCGAACTGACAGTTTAATTTCAGCTAAAGGTTTCAAAGCTCAATATATTAGAGCCTGCGGTGCTCGAATAATCGTGAGCGATCACGGTTTCCTTACACCCCCAGCTGGCAGTACCGATCAACATGATAATACTAATTGCACGTGGACATTGATAGCTGAAGATCCAGGTAAATAAGACTTCGTCTCAGTTTGATCTCTATTTGCATTTGTTTTCAAATTCTAAATAATCTCTCTAATTTTCGTTTTCTATTTTTTTATTACAGCCGATCACATAACTGTTACCTTCACGCATATGGAAATGGATCCAGTTGGTTTTTCGAGTCATATTAATGGACCGAATCCTTCCTTAATACCTCTTTGTTTTTACTCTCTCGAAATATTCGAAGGTGAGAGTATAGATGGACCGCTTTTAGCAAAATTGTGCAACAACGTCGCGCCACCGCCAATTACAAGCACTGGCAGTTCCCTCACGCTGCATCTAGTCTTACGTTATGAATTTTTCGGTGACTTTGTCGCTATGTACTCCGTCCTGAATACAGGTATATTGAATTAAAATATATAAAACGCCTTAAAACATGCGATTAATTTTATTTCTGTTCTTCAGCTTGCGGCGGAAACTACACTTCCCAACAAGGAGTAATCACCTCGCCTGGTTATCCGAATAGTTATCCCCTAAACGCAGAATGTGTTTGGGTTTTGAATACCTCTCCCGGTAATAGGATTTCTCTTGTGTTCTCCGAATTTGATGTTGAGTCGAGCGAAAACTGCGATCTGGACTACCTCGAAATACGGGAGGACAGCGGAATCGGGAAGCTCATTAGCATTTCTTGCGGCAAAGATGCCACGGAAATTGCGTCCTCCAACAAACTATGGATCAAGTTTAAGAGTGACGGTTCAGGCACTGCCAAGGGTTTTATGGCTGAATATAATCTTATTGGAGGAAACGAACTCGAAGGACCTACAGGACGCATTACCTCGCCATTGTATCCAATACATTATAAACGAGAAGCTACATTCTCATGGCGCATCACTGTCGAAATGGATTCTGTTATACACATCGATTTCAGAGATATAGGGATAGAAAATATTGGTCAAAATTGTTACTCTAATATAAAAGTAAGTATCGTTATCAGATATGACAAAATTAAAATTGTAGATACATCGTTTACGAAACAAATGTAATATAACATTATAGATTTATTTATTAACATTAAATACAATTATTTTATATTATATACATATAAAATTTATATATATTCTTTAATACGCATTTATGGTATATTTTATTACATATGTTTAAAATTAATGAAAGTAAAACATTGAGTTATAATTTCAATTATTCATCAAATCTATCTATTTTTAATTAGATATATGATGGATATGATGACGAAGCACCAAGTTTACTAGTGGCATGTGGTTATACTTTGCCAGGTCCAGTAGATTCATCTAGCAACATAGTTTATATTGAAATGAAGACGAATTTTGTTAGACAAGGAAGTTGGTTTGATCTTACATGGCTTCAAATACCAAGAAACACTTCTCAAGAAAATAACAAAGAAATTAAATGTAAGTTTCTGTTATACATACTTATTAGTCTTTTGTTACCATATATAAATCATATGTATTAAAATATAATATCACCTTTAATTATTAATATGTCAATATAATAATTAATTAATGTTAACAATATTTCTCAAGCTAAATAAATGCTTTTATAACATAAATATATGACGATATACATCAAATGTTATAATTACGTAAATTAAGTCAAATCAATGTAATATATATATATATATATATATATATATATGTAGTGTGTGTGTGTGTGTGTGTGTGTGTGTGTGTGTGTGT